CCTGCTGTTATGAACATGACAGAGTAGAGCTGTTCATATAGGTGAGTGTTTTGTCGTCATTCATCAACTATAACATTTATTACTTCTTCCAGAAAACTACCAGTCGGTTTGATTCAATACTTTATATGGATGTACCTGTCAGTTTTTGTGACAATATCATTAATTTTCTTTTTTTTTAGAAAATATTGTAATTTTTGGTATTCATTTTGGATGACACCTATATGAGATTTAAAACTCGCACTGATTGATGCTAACATTTATAAAAGGTCACAGACACAGACACAACAGAGCAACTTTGGTATTTATAGAAATAATACATACTACAATTAGCACTGATTAATATTCATCTAAATCTCTGGGAATTCCTTCTTACAGCAAGTCTCAGAAGTATTGGGGCAGCCAATTGGCAAACTTGCTAGCGAATTGGCTAACTGCTTGGGTTTTGACTAAACGATTGGCTTTCGCACCTCGCTGGCGCCGACTTGTGATCGCGTCCACTCTGGGCGAGTCTATATTGCAGTAGGGGACATAGAATGCTTTTTATGCAGCCTGGTACATGTCTGGATTCCCCTGAGTAATTTGAGCCCCCGGTTTGAGCCTGCAAATAACCACAGTCAGCTGGCGTACAAGTTTTAATATGATAAATGCGATTATTATCTTGAACACTGCTTGAAACTACAAAATGTAAATAGTCAAGTTGAGAAACATTTTCCTACAAATCAGGGAGAAAATAACAAACTTTCACATACAAAAGATTCGTTGGGGTAAAATTAAGCCGACCGCTAAAAAAGTCATTAGCTATTTTTACGTGGATACGAAAGAAATAGAACACTTTCCCTAGTATATTTGAAAGCAAAATCGCCACCCATGGATGTGCTAAGAAAATCCATGCGCCACCCAACTGTAAAACCGTCGCTGATTAGCCCCTCAAGTATGACGATCGTCCCCTACTGTTATATAGATTAGCCGTATGTGGGCGTGATCACAAGACAGCGCCAGCGAGATTCGAAAGCCAACTGTTTAGCCAAAACCCAAGCAGCTAACCAATTCGCTAGCGAGTTTGCAAATTGGCTGCCCCAATACTTCTGAGACTTGCTGTAAATCCACATTTCCCCCTGATTTGCAATCTCTTGTAAAATTAAAGATTTCTGGTTTACAATATCACTTACCACTACATGCTCATGTCTGCTGTCAACAAATGGACCAAACTGTAGAAAACAAATTGTATCAATTTCATTACTGAGAAACAAAAATGTTGTCATCCTAAATAAAAGACATATTCAATTGTTGGATTTTCACTGGAGACTTATTTTAACCCAATAAGTCACATGAGGATTGGATTACCGATAATTTAGTTTACCAATAACAATAATATTTTAATATTTGTAGCGAGCTGAAGATATTTTAACTTGCATGTACAAATAACACTACTATTTACTGCATTTACAATAGAAGTGACATAATACCACTGATAACTCACCAAAATACAGACATCTGGTTTTTCTTTGAGAATAACTTTTATCAAATCATTTAGCGGGTCAAAACTAAGACTATCAGATGTGAAGTATGGGCCAGCAGTAGTCAATGTATACAATGGTCCAGTACTGCTTTCCTTGTCTTCAATTTGATTGAATGGTAACATTAAACCCTGTAACAAACAAGAATGTAAATAACCACTGAGAGTTTAAATTGTTTAGATTGATTTGAAAAAAGAAAGTTTCATAAATCGCTAGTACTCGGTAGTAAAATTAATGAATGCCACTTAAACATCTTTTTCTGATAGAGGAATGATAATTTAACAAATATGGAAAACACTCAAGTTTACAAATAATCACCAATATATTTTGCATGCATCCATATTCAAGAAAACCATTATTAATTCCAATATTACAATGCTATTTTTGACAGGATTAGTTATTCAAACGCAATGCAATTTGATATCTGAATAGGAACATCATTTTAGTTGTCACTACTAGACACAATGGTGAGTATGTTCTAGATCACCAAACAACAAGACTTTGCACAGATCATATACAAATAGAAAACATGTACAGGTAAGGTTGTGCTAAATATCAGGATACTTTGTTCCTTGCTCGGTAGTACTACCGTAAAATCTGTATTAGAAGCCGCATCCCTAATAGAAGTCGCACCCATTCTTTTTAAACAATTGGGAACCAAAAAATCATCATTTCTCATATGTGTAGATGCTCTAATAGAAGCCGCACCCCCTCTATTGGATTGTACCATTTTAATAGAAGCCGCGGTTTCTAATACAGATTTTACAGTACATTTATTTCTAATTATCTACACAAACATTACTTACTGGATACAGCTTACTGACTACAAGTTTACTCCCTGTACTGTTTGTACCATCAACAGCTACTATCTGACCAGGAAATAATGAATACTCTTTGATATTCAATAACAATGATACGTGTTTGCCAGCTGACGTTTCTGAGGAGCCTTCCAGGATTACAGATTGGGAATTCAGTTTACCGTTGCTATCACAACAGATACGTCCTGCAGCAGTAAAACTCTCCTGTACAATAAAAAAGTGAATTTACAAAACACATCAGTGTCTAGTGTGAAGTGACAATTGAACAAAAATATACAGTGCATTGCAGATGTGCCTTCAGAAGAAACCAGGTGCCCAGATGTTGTAGGCTTTGGAGTGAGTTTACAATTAGAAATCACATTGTTGTGGTAGAATCTTGTGAATAGTCACAAGGTTGCAGGCAGTTTTGAAGCATTGTGATGAAAATGTTCAAATACATACCTGTAGCGGCAATGCTACATGCCCCAGGTTTTCTATAACATACCCATTTTGTAATTCATATCCTAAATCTTCAATCATATCATTCAGAACTATTAAAATAAATCATGTTTTAGATTCAAAAAGATGTGAGCTAAGTGAATTTCTAGACATGCAACACTATTGGTGAATAATTCTGAAATCCATTATTGCTATACGACATAAACATGGTGCACTAAATTATAATCAGTAATCCATAATAAATACACGTATCAATATAGCAATATTATTTTGGATTTGCTTCTCTATACTTTGCATGAGTATCAAAATAAATAATACAAAATACATAATGTCCATAATTTTCAATGATTATTATAAAACTTGATCAAGTAACATGATATTCAACATACCATTAGCCTTATCAGCATATTTCTGAAACATATACTTGATATTTGTTGTCAAAGCATTTTCTTTATCATAATGATCTATAGAGATGTTATCAGCTCCACTGCCACGCCAGGCAATCCTGGTGTTACCAAAAGTAGCAACCACATTGCCTTGGTTATTTCGACTTGAATACTTTTGTGATGGGGTACCACTGTGAAATAAAGGGATAAATGATGTGTCATTTTATTTCCATGAATAAACTAATTTTTGAAAGAGTAATAAATTAGGTGAGTGGTAATCCTACCCTGTTCCCGGTATCAGAGATAACAGCCTAGTACACAAGAGATAGCTACTGTTATGCAAATAAGTTGAATATAAACATTTTCTGTCATAGAAATCTAACAATGTAAGTTGGGAAAAATTCAATAATTACACTTACATTGGTGATGATAATGATTTTGGTGAGAATGGTGCCATAGCTGGACTTCCACTTAATCCTGTTAATCTTTTGTTTTGTATATTCTCTGGCGTTGTGTGTAATCTTTTATTTTTCCCCTAATAATACAAAAATTATCATTTTAATTGAGATTATGTTCATACAACTACAGGCCATTGCACATTGTTCACATTTCGTGCAGATGCGTGTGCACAATGGCTAGTTGGCAAGAACTGGTTGTTCGCACCCGACACATAAACTAATAGCATTTCTATTGTTATCAAATATACATATATGTGATTCTGCTAATAAAACATCTTATGGTCAACGTGTCACAGCAGATCACAAGCAAGCACTGATAAGTGAGCAACACTTGTTATCAGACATCATATTGGTAAGCAAAAATGTCAACAGATGTCAGTGTGAAGGCTTATTGGACAAACAAATTACTCTACACATATTTTATTTCTACATCCCCTTCCCAAGTTTCTAATGAATACTGCCTTACCTTTGTAGATGGTGTACAGTAAGCATTTAACAAATCATTGGCTTCATCATTATCAATACTATGAAAGACACTGTTAAGGAACAGAACACTAACAGAAGATATGGTTACATCTAAGTAAACTCCTGTCTTCACAACAAGATATACAATAGTCATTAAGTTACAAGAACATGCTTACAACTTTGCTTAAAATCTGAGATGCTAGAGAATAAATGGGACAGGCAACTGTGGTCTTTTATATTCTGGGACTATAATGTAATGTCTAATGCTTTTTGAACATGATTTCAAACAAGAACAAGTCCATACAACACTAAATGAACAGTATCTAAACTAGTCTCCCATGAACATACTTGATTATGTCTTTCTTTTAAAATATATAAACTACTAGAAAAAGGATAATATGGTGGTTCAAAATGCTTATGTAATAGAAATTGATACACCAACACATTCTATTCCTTTTGAGATTTGCCATACATGTAGTTGCCTGTTACTGATGCAAGTAAACCTGTGGAAACATCTGAAGGTCTGTTTGAGTGGGTGTAAATCAAAATACAGAAAGCACAACATTTATAACTAATTAAACAAATAATTTTTAATTTACATACAATGTGTTGCTTCAAAATTTTCTGGTAATATATATATTAGTATATGTACATGTCACATGATAACACATTGTGACACCAAATAGGTAGGTATATGTAAATAATGCCAATCACCAATCTAATTAATGACCTCACCAATTGCCAATCTAAATAATGACCTCACCAATCGCCAACCTAAATAATGACTTCACCAATTGCCAATCTAAATAACAACTTCACCAATCACCAATCTAAATAATGACTTCACCCATCCCCAATCTAAATAATGACTTCACCAATTGCCAATCTAACTAACAACTTCGCCAATCGCCAACCTAAATAATGACTTCAATTGCCAATCTAAATAATGACTTCACCAATTGCAAATCTAAATAATGATTTCACCAATTCCCAATCTAAATAATGACTTCACCAATTGCAAATCTAAATAATGACTTCACCAAATACCAATCTAACTAACAACTTTGCCAATCGCCAACCTAAATAATGACTTCACCAATTGCAAATCTAAATAATTACTTCACCAATTGCAAATCTAAATAATGACTTCACCAATTGCCAAACTAACAACATCACCAATTGCAAATCTAAATAATGACTTCACCAATTCCCAATCTAAATAATGACTTCACCAATTGCAAATCTAACTAATGACTTCACCAATTCCCAATCTAAATAATGACTTCACCAATTCCCAATCTAAATAATGACTTCACCAATTGCCAAACTAACAACTTCACCAATTGCAAATCTAAATAATGACTTCACCAATTGCAAATCTAAATAATGACTTCACCAATTCCCAATCTAAATAATGACTTCACCGATTCCCAATCTAAATAATGACTTCACCAATTGCCAATCTAAATAATGACTTCACCAATTGCCAATCTAAGTAACAACTTCGCCAATCGCCAACCTAAATAATGACTTCATCAATTGCAAATCCAAATAATGACTTCACCAATTGCCAATCTAAATAATGACTTCACCAATTGCCAATCTAAGTAACAACTTCGCCAATCGCCAACCTAAATAATGACTTCACCAATTGCAAATCC